AGTGGCACAGTCTCGGCTCACTGCAACCTCCGCCTCCCGGGTTCAAGTGATTCTCCTGCCTCAGCTTCCCGAGTAGCTGGGACTACTGTGTTTAGTCACTCAAACTCAGAGCCCAGGGGAGAAGGACACCGCACGCCATGCAGGGCCACACAGGGCTTGCCCTTGGGAATGGCGCTTGGGAGCCGGGTGAACTGGCAGAGGCAGCTCTGTAGTGAAAGAGAGTGAGGTGACCTTTGGTTCCTGCAGGAGGATGTGATGAGCTTGTTTGAATCATTTCACAGGGTGGCAGGAGTGAAACGGATAGATTGAGGACTGCGTGGTATGCAGCTGGTTCGGCCGATGGGGAACTAGCTGGGTGGGAAGCCAGCCCTGCTGGTGATGTATCTGGTGACAGCAGGGGATCTCATGGGATCTAAAGTGGCCCCTTCTGACTAGGTGGCATTGATACCATGGGAAAATTGGGGGCAGGAGGAAGCGTTTTCAGGCAGAGGGGTCTGAAGGTAATCCATTCCTTGCTCTAGGAATGGATTAGAAGGTGGGAACTTTCTTTTTCTCCTTTGTACAGATAAAGAAATTCAGGCACAGAATGTAGAAGTAACCTGACCACAGTCCTATAGCCAGGAGGCAGGATTTGAATACAGAGGTATCCCCACATCGTGGTCCAAAAACCACCAACATGGGGCACTTAAAAAGCATTTCAACCAAGCTGAGTAGGGCAGGGGTGCATCCCTGAGGAAGGGGTGCATGTGCGCATTGGTGGAAGGCTGGTCAGGGAGCAGGTGGAGGGAGGTGGAGTGGAGCGGGGCCTCCTGAAGGCAGCGGAGGATTGAAGCTGGGTCCATGAGCACTCGTCCAGCTGGGGTCAGGTCCCACTGGGTATGCAGATGGCAAGTGCTACTGGGTGTGCGGTGGCTCTACGGTCCCTGGATAGGGAGCACGTGGAATTGTTAAGATTCGAGTAAGTGGAGGCGGGGCGCAGTGGCTCACGCCTGTAATCCCAGCACTTTGGGAGGCTGAGGTGGGCGGATCACCTGAGGTTGGGAGTTTGAGACCAGCCTGACTAACGTGGAGAAACCCCATCTCTACTGAAAATACAAAATTAGCCGGGCGTGGTGGCGCGTGCCTGTCATCCCAGATACCCGGGAGGCTGAGGCAGGGGACTCGCTTGAACCCGCTAGGCGGACGTTGCCGTGAGCGGAAATCACACCATTGCACTCCAGCCTGGGCAACAAGAGCGAAACTTTGTCTCAAAAAAAAAAAAAATCCCCAGAAAACAAAAAGACTCAAGTAAATAGAACCGATGCAGTGGCTCACCCTGTAATCCCAGCACTCTGGGAGGCTGAGGTGGGAAGATCATTTGAGCCCAGGAGTTCAAGACCAGCCTCTGCAACATAGCGATGCATGGCTGTAGTCCCATGCATGCAGCCTCCCATTACTCCGGAGGCTGAGGCGGGAGGATTGCTTGAGCCCAGGAGGTCAAGGCTGCAGTGAGCTATGATTGTGCCACTGCGCTCCAGCCTGGGCAACAGAGTGAGACCCTGTCTCAGAAAAAAAAAAAAAAAAAAAGAGTGAGTGGAGAAGAGAGGTGGCTAGTGTAACATGGCCAGTTTCCATGGCGACGTGTGGGGAGGGCTGAAGGCGGGAATGGGGGATTAAGGCAGTATTGTTAAGTAGTCCTGATCAGAAGAGTTTTGATTTCATTCTTTAGGGAATACGCAGCCTTTGAAGATTTTAAAGCAGGAGTGTAACATGAGTAAAATAGTTCTTTTTTGTTTGTTTTATTAAAAGAGTGCTTAAGCAATCTGGGCGTTAGATAAATGGAGACGGGAGAGGCTGGTGGAGAGTCTGAGGCTTGGAGCCAGGGTAACAGCTGTGGGAATTGGAGGGAGGATTCTGAAGGGAGGATTAGCAAGCCTTGGTGGGTGATCGACTGACTGAAACCTGAGAAGGGACACATCCGTGATTCTAAGGTGTTAGGAATATGGGAGAATGGAGGCTCTGCCAAAGGAGGAGGGAGGACATGGCGCTGTTCTTACCCAGGAAGGGACCTGGCTTTGGGGCAAGTTGATGGATGCAGGATTAGGCTCCTGGATTTTGTGGTGTTGGTGACACATTGGAGTTTGAAAGTCTGAGCAGGCACTTAGGAAAAAACTGGGGAAGGGTCAAGGCCATTTGGAAGAGAGGGATGAATTGAGAAAGCAGAGCGAGGGGAAGCATAGAGGGCCATGAGCCATAACATTCGCATTTACAGGAGCTGGAAAGGGGAGATCGTCAGAGACTCTCTATTCTCTTGACAGCCCTCCTGTGAGGTGGATTGGATAAGTATTGGGAAAGTATTAACTCTCTACAGATGAGGTCGTGAGTCTCAGAGAGATCAAGGGATTGCCCCAAGTTTACTCAGTGAGAGACGGCAGGAGAGACTGTGACCTTGTGTGTGTGACACCCAGCCCAAGACTCTTCTCCTTATGTCTTTGTTGCCTTTTTTTTTTTTTTTTTTTGCAGGAACTAAGTGGCTCTTCCATGGCCCCCATCATGACCACAGTGCAATCTAAAACCGCCCCGCCCACATTTAACAGGACCAATAAATTCACAGCTGGCTTCCAGAATATCGTCGATGCATATGGCGTCGGCAGCTACCGGGAGATAAACCCAGGTAAAGATCTGGTAAATTGCACAACTGGGCAGCTTGAAAGTGGAAACTGGGTAAGATGTACCCCTGAGTGACTGAGGAGGTGAACTTGTTAAAACTGTGAGGCTTGGGGCTAGGTTTGTAGCTGTGGGAATCCGAGGAAGAAGTAGGATAGTAGGGGCAAGTAGAAGGTTTCCTAAATCCTGCTCGGTTTCCTAATACCCTGGGGTGTTGTCTATAAATGCTGATTGGTGAAAGAGTTGTTTTGTCTCACCTGTTTGCCCTTCAACCACAACCTCATCAGGCAGCTGAAGTCAGCGATTGTTTCCTTCACCAGTTCAATGAGGGCCTTATCTTGGCAGCTTCACTGTTGTAGCTATTGTGTGGGAAAGACACAAACACACAGAACTTAGAAGACTCGATTCTTGGTGTCCTAAGCTGTGGGATCTTGCAAGCTTGGTTAATAAAATAAAGGGCATAGTGGCTCACATCTGTAATCCCAGCACTCTGGGAGACTGAGGCAGTGGATCATTTGAGGTCAGGAGTTCGAGACCAGCCTGACCAACATGGCAAAACCCTGTTTCTACTAAACATACAAAAATTAGCAGGGCACAGTGGCAGGCACCTGTAATCCCAGCCATTCAGGAGGATGAGGCAGGAGAATCACTTGAACCCAGGAGGCGGCGGTTGCAGTGAGCCGAGATCATGCCACTGTACTCCAGCCTGGGCAACAGAGTGAGACCCTGTCTCAAAAAATAGATAAAAGGGTGGACTAGATGCCCTTTATCCAAGCAGTGCATGGCGCTGTTCTTCTCTAGCCTGAGACCCAGTCTAATTTGTGACCTGTAATGCAGGAGCCTCCTGGGTTGAGGCTCCCTGCGAGCAAACTGCTGGTGGTGTGTGGTGCATGTGAATGGTGGAGAAACAGGCAAAAGATGGGCGTGGAGAAGAGGGTAAAAAGCACCTACAAAGAGAAAACTGATCTTAAGTTCCGTCAAACTTGACGAATTTTTTTGACTTTGTAATTTTTTTTTTTTTTGAGACCGAGGTTCGCTCTGTTGCCCAGGTTGGAGTGCAATGGCATGATCTTGGCTCACTGCAACCTCAGCCTCCCGGGTTCAAGTGATTCTCTTGCCTCAGCCTCCCGAGTAGCTGGGATTACAGGCATGTGCCACCACGCCTGGCTAATTGTTTTATATTTTTAGTAGAGATGGGGTTTCTCCATGTTGGCCAGGCTGGCCTCGAACTCCTGACCTCAGGTGATCCACCTGCCTCGGCCTTCCAAAGTGCTGGGATTATAGGCGTGAGCCACTGTGCCTTGCAAGACTTTGTGATTTTTGACAAGTCATTTAGCCTCTCTACGCCTCAGCACATCTGTAGAGTGGGGACTAAGTTTACCTACTCATGGACTGGGCATGGTGGCTCATGCCTGTAATCCCAACATTTTGGGAGGCTGAGGTAGGAGGATTACTTTGAGCCCAGGAGGTGGAGGTTGTAGTGAGCCATGATCGTGCCACCGCACTCCAGTCTGGGTGACAGAGTGAGACCCTGTCTCAAAAAAAAATTTAAAAAGAATGCCTAGAAACTGATGTGCTCATTTATATGGCAGCTAAGCAAGTGTCAGGGTCGGGAGGGTGAGAAAAGACAAGCCGAAAGTCTTAAGGAAACCAGTGTGCAGATTGTGCAGCTGTGGCAGGGAACCTGCGCTGGGGCCTCAGATGTTGTGCGTCTCCCCTCCACAGCCCCCTACACCATTATCACTTTCCCCTTCCTGTTCGCTGTGATGTTTGGAGACTGTGGTCACGGAACTGTGATGCTCCTGGCTGCGCTTTGGATGGTTCTGAATGAGAGACGCTTGCTCTCCCAGAAGACAGACAATGAGGTGAGTGAGTATCCCTTGACTGTCTTGCCACATTTGTTTTCAGAATAGGAAAATCTGTACGTGGTTTTCACCATAGAAATAACACGTCTTTATGAAAAATAAGGGAAAGAAAGAAAGTAAAAAAGAGCCAAAATTAACCTAAAACTTCTGGCCAAAGATAATTCCTTTGGAAGATTTGGTGCTGTTCCTTTCGGCATTTTTGGGTTTTTGTTCATGACTTGATAACACATCAGTTTTTCATTATGTATGTTTTCTAACTCTGATTTTTTTCTCTGATTATAAAAGCAATATAGCCAAGGGTGGTGGCTCACACTTGTAATCTCAGTACTTTGGAAGGCTGGGTTGGGGTGGGGGGGCAGATCACGAGGTCAGGAGTTCAAGACCAGCCTGACCAACATGGTGAAACCCCGTCTCTACTAAAAAACACACCCAAAAAATAGGTGGGCGTGATGGCCCATGCCTGTAATCCTAGCTACTCAGGAGGCTGAGGCAGGAGAATCACTTGAACCCGGGAGGCAGAGGTTGCAGTGAGCCGAGATTGTGCCATTGCTCTCCAGCCTGGGTGACAGAGCAAGACTTCATCTCGAAAAACAAACAAACAAACAAACAAGCAAAAAACCCAGCAATTCATAATCATTGTAAAAATTAGAAAAATGCAACCATCTAGTGACAAAGAGAAAAATCACAGTGAGTGTTTTTTGATATCTTTCCATTTCTTTTCTTGCTTATACACCAATTTTTCAAAAACTGGCATCAAGTAGTGCACAGTATTTGTATTGATTTTACTTAAAATATCATGAGTACTTGTTCCTGGCAGAGCAGCCTGGGACCAGGGTTATTTTGAACACTGAGAAACCCTGCCTGTCGTTTGCCCACTCTTAGCTTCAAGTTTCTCCGCCTTTCACGAGGTCCCTTCGCAGAGTGCTGTGAAGGCTGGGACAACTCAAGAGAGTGCATTGGTTCACAGTTTATTAGGTGGGCGGGCGCAGTGGCTTATGCCTGTAATCCCAGCACTTTGGGAGGCCACGGTGGGTGGGTCATTTGAGATCAGGAGTTCGAGGCCAACCTGGCCAACATGGTGAAGCCCCATCTCTGTTAAAAATACAAAAATTAGCCAGGCGTAGTGGTAGGTACTGGTAGTCCCAGCTACTTAGGAGGTCGAGGCAGGAGAATCTCTTGAATCCGAAAAGTGGAGGTTGCAGTGAGCCGAGATCTCGCCATTGCAGTCCAGCCTGGCTGACAGAGCGAGACTCCGTCTCAAAAAAAAAAAGTTCAACAGTTAATGGAAGTTAATCACTTTAAGTTCATGGTAATACATTTTAAAAAGGGGAAACATGCTGTAGCTATGCTCTGATTGTAACAATATCTGCAGGCCAGGCACCGTGACTCATGCCTGTTAATCCCAGCACTTTGGGAGACTAAGGTGGGCCGATCACCTGAGGGCAGGAGTTTGAGACCGCCCTTACCAACATGGTGAAATCCCATCTCTACTAAAAATACAAAAATTAGCCAGGCATGGTGGCGGGCACCTGTAGTTTCTGCTACTCAGGAAGCTGAGGCTGGAGAATCACTTGAACCCAGGAGGTGGAGGTTGCAGTGAGCCGAGATCATGCCACTGCACTCTAGCCTGGGTGACAGAGCAAGATTCTGTCTCAAAAAAAAAAAAAAAAAAAAAAAAAAAGAATATCTGCAATGTTTGATTACAGGTTGAATTAATTATAGCTAGGTTATCGATGTCGAGGTTAGAGGGCAGAATCCACCTGTGACCAATGTAGTTTTCCATGCCAAGTTTAACAGATGTAGTTTTCTATGGTAAACATTTTGAGTTTCAGAGTTACCCTTCAGCACTGCTTGGAATGATTGACACACATCATTCAGTATTATGAGAAAGCACTTTATGCTTCTCAGCAGACATAGACAGACAGAGACTCAACTTTACAGTGACAAGACACAAAATGAGTATAGATCTGACTTGTCATAAATGTAGCAACCGTGAGAGGCCAGTTCAGTGCGTGTCTCCTGGAAGCACTTGAAGCAAAGCCGCCTACTTTCAGGTCCCTCCCGAAGCAGATGAGGCCGAGCTTGCACTTAGTTTATTTTCTGATGCAGGCGCAATGGAAGGAGCTGAGGCTTATATGTTTTTATTTTTTTGAGATGGAGTCTCACTCTGTCACCCAGGCTGGAGTGCAGTGGGACGATCTCAGCTCACTGCAACCTCTGCCTCCCGGGTTCAAGTGATTCTCCTGCCTCAGTCTTCCAAGTAACTAGAACTAATGTGCACACCACCACGTCTGGCTAATTTTTAGTAGAAACGGGATTTCACCATGTTGGCCAGGCTGGTCTCAAACTCCTGACCTCAGGTGATCTGCCTGCCTCAGCCTCCCAATGTCCAAAGTATTGGGATTACAGGTATAAGCCACCACGCCTGGACTTTTTAATTTTTTGAGACAAAGTCTTGCTCTGTCACCCAGGCTGGGGTGCAGTGGTACAATCTCGGCTCACTGCAGCCTCCACCTCCCAAAATCAAGTGATTCTTCTGCCTCAGCCTCCCGAGTAGCTGAGATTACAGGCCTGCACCACCACACCTGGCAAATTTTCGCCTATATGGTTTTTATTTCCACAATAACAAATACCAGTCTAGGACTTTTTGGTGTACCTATATGTTCCAAAAACCAGGATGCTGTGTTCTTCCCGTGTGGATGATTGATGTTTGCTGTGTCATGTGACCCACCCCAAGGGTGCCTGTGCCGGCGAAGCTGGAAACATCCTCCGGGGTCTGGTTCAGAGCCCACTGACAATCATCCTCTCTGTCTCTCTGAGGCCAGATTTGGAACACCTTCTTCCACGGGCGCTATCTGATTCTCCTGATGGGCATCTTCTCCATCTACACGGGCCTGATCTACAATGACTGCTTCTCCAAGTCCCTGAACATCTTCGGCTCTTCTTGGAGTGTCCAGCCCATGTTCAGAAACGCCACCTGGAAGTGAGTTGATGGACAGAGACGGCACACTCGCTGGCCAGCCAGGTGGCCTCAGTGGCTGTTTTCATGGTAGGGAGAGTCTACCCCAGCTCAATTCAGAGGTGCACTTGAAAATTCAACAAATAGGCCAGGCGCGGTGGCTCACGCCTGTAATCACAGCACTTTGGGAGATCGAGGCAGTTGGATCACTTGAGGTCAGGAGTTTGAGACCAGCCTGGCCATCATGGTGAAACCCATCTTCACTAAAAATATAAAAATTAGCTAGGTGTGGTGTGGGGGGGGAGCCTGGAATCCCAGCTACTCAGGAGGCTGAGGCAGGAGAATGACTTGAACCTGGGAGGCAGAGCTTGCAGTGAGCTGAGATTGTGCCACTGCACGCCAGCCTGGGCAACAGAGTGAGACTCCATCTCCAAAATAAATAAATAAAAGAAAAAAATTAATTAGCCAAGTATGTTGGCCTGTAGTGCTAGCTACCTGGGAGGCTGAGGTAAGAGGATGGCTTGGGCCCAGGAGGTCAAGACCGTGTGAGCTACGATCACACCATTGCACTCCAGCCTGGGCAGCACAGCAAGATGCTGTCTCAAACAAAAGCAAATGAGAGGGTGGGTATGGTGGCTCACGTCTGTAATCCCAGCACTTTGGGAGGCTGAGGCGGGAGCATCACTTGAGGTCAGGAGTTCAAGACCACTCTGGCTAACATGGTGAAACCCTGTGTCTACTAAAAATACAAAAATTAGCCAGGCATGATGGTGCGTGCCTATAATCCCAGCTACTCAGGAGGCTGAGGCATGAGAATCACTTGAACCCAGGAGGTGGAGGTTGCAGTGAGCCAAGATTGCACCCTTGCACTTCACTTCTGAGCAACAGAGCAAGACTCTGTCTCAAAAACAAAAAAAAATGCAAATGAGGAAAGGGTTGGTTTCGCAATGCTGTCTCCCTGTATTTGTCCTGTGGCTGGCAGAGTGGGAGGTTGGGGACTGTAGGATGGAGAGGCCTGGAAGCTTTCTAGATCCCCGAGGTCCACACTTCCCCTGTGTATTCCACGGTGATTTTATACAGTTCGGCAGACGTGCAGTCTTTAGAATGGAAGCACAACCTTTCAGGAATGGAGACTTGTAGGGGAGGGAGGAAGATTTTAGAGTTTGAGAGATAGGCCAATTTAATGAACTGGGGGGAACAGGGGACTCTGGAGGATAGGGGACTGTGAAGTGAACAAATAGAAATCGCGCCGGCCTTGTGATTTTGGGGGCAATCTTAGGTTATGGGCATAACATACCCAAGAGTCCCATAGTAGCGTGAGGGCTAATTTGTGAAACCTACATGTCATTGGTGATATTTCCTAACATGTGTCTCTGCCCGGCTTCTTTGGGTCAGCTTAAGATTTCCTTGCCTCATTCTGGAACTTCGGTTTGAACAGATAAGAAAAGACGAGCAAAAGAGAAGGCTGAGCTGGGTAGACTGTTCACAATCTCTTTGCCCGTTCTTCCTCCCCCAAGGAAGGAGCCTTACGGGTTTTACTTGCTCACCAAAATCTGTCGTGAACGTCATAAATTGGGGACAGAAGAAACAATCTGTTTCATCCAAGAGTTTTTCAGTTAGAAAAGATTCAATCCTGGGTTGTTGGGTGTTTTTTTTTTTTTGAGACAGAGTCTCACTGCAACCTCTGCCTTCCAGGTTCAAGCAGTTCTCCTGCCTCAGCCTCCTGAGCACCTGGGGCTTCAGGTGCATGGGTTTTACTGTGGTGGCCAGATCTCCTGACCTCATGATCCACCTGCCTCGGCCTCCCAAAGGGCTGGGATTGCAGGTGTCAGCCACTGTGCCCAGCCCAATTCTGGTTTTCTTTTGACAGAGCTTTCCTGAGGGCATTTGAGGGGCTTGATGTTGGCACAGAGGCTCCAAGAGACTGTAGCAATCTTCATTGTGGTGCATGGAGATTCTAATTCAGTCCCTTTTCGTTTCTCTGCTAGGCCTAAGTTCCCTGAAGTAGAGATGGGATTCCCCACCTTAAATAAACACAGAAAAATAAAGGATAAAACGTTTTCCAGAATGACATACAGACAGCTCTGTGTGTTTTTTATTTTGTTTTGTTTTGCTTTTTTTGCTTTGCAATTAGTATTCTAAAGAGATGCCCAAAAGAACAGAACAAAACTTCCATAAATGTAAAAACAAATTAAGTTGAGCACAGTGGCTCACACCTGTAATCCCAGAACTTTGGGAGGACAAAGTGGGAGGATTGCTTGAACCCAGGAGTTCAAGACCAGCCTGGGCAATATAGGGACGCCCTGTCTGTCTATATAAAATTGAAAAAAAAAAAAAAAAAATAGCTGGGCTCAGTAGCACGTGCCTGTGGTTCCAGCTACTCGGGAGGCTGAGGCAGGAAGATCATTTGAGCCTGGGAGGTTGAGGGTGCGATGAGCCACGATGGCACCACTGTACTCCAGGAAGGGCAATACAGCAAGACCCTGTCTCAAACAAACAAACACATACATTCTTATACTTAGTTCTGCTCTTTAGATTTAAAGTCATAAGTATAGAGATGAGTTTTATTTTTTATTTTTATTTTTTATTTTGAGATGGAGTCCATTCTGTGGCCCAGGCTGGAGTGCAGTGGTGTAATCTTGGCTCACTACAACCTCAGCCTCCTGGGTTCTCGCAGTTCTCCTGTCTCAGCCTGCCAAGTAGCTGGGATTACAGGTGTGTGCCACCACGCCCAACTAATTTTTGTATTTTTAGTAGAGACAGGGTTTCACTATGTTGGCCAGGCTGGTCTTGAACTCCTGGCCTCAGGTGATCCACCCGCCTTGGTGTCCCAAAGTGTTCGGCTTACAGGTGTGAGCTACCGCGCCTGGCTGAGATGGGTTTTGAAACATGTTAAATCTGCATAATTTCACCAGACTACCAACATGAAATTCCATTTCCCCTGGAGTGTGACTGTGAAAGGCCCAGGTTAACTGTCTTGTTATCATTCTGCAGACATGGGTATGAATGTTGTTTTTTTGTTTTGGTTATGTTTTTTTTAGACAGAGTTTTGCTCTGTTGCCTGGGCTGGAGTGCAATGACACAATCTTGGCTCATGCAACCTTCACCTCCCGGGTTCAAACAATTCTCCTGCCTCAGCCTCCCAAGTAGCTAGGATTACAGGCATGTACCACCACACCCAGCCAATTTTGTATTTTTAGTAGAGACAGGGTTTTTCCATGTTGGTCAGGCTGGTCTCAAACTCCCGACCTCAAGTGATCCACCTGCCTCGGTCTCCCAAAGTGCTGGGATTACAGGCGTGAACCACCGTCCCTGGCTAATATGAATGTTGTTCTCTTCTGCACCTGCAAATGACTTCTTCCCCAATTCAGGACTCTTTGGTCTTGAATTGGAGCAATGCTCAGGCACATGTGAAAGGTCAGTAGTATAAGAAAGAACCTCATTATCAGTGTGGCAGAAGAAAATGACAGCTGAAGTACACAGTGAGCTGATTCTGGTCACCAGCTGCAACCTGGGTTTTGAGCCTGCTTCCTTGATGGTTGAAAGGCCACCGAAAACATTCCTGCAGTCACCGGAGTTGGGCATATTGACTCAGCGAGAGAGAAGGTGCAGCGTTGGGACAACCATCTCTGTTAGGAGGGCGTTGGAAAGAGCTTAGAGCATTTGGCCTGTGTTAGGATGCAGGGATGCTGGGTCGTTTTTGTGATTTGTACCGTGTCCTTCTTTCTGCCTGTATCAGGGTGTGATTGTGGAATGATCTTGTTTTTTCTTGCTCTGTTGGAGTCGCCAGGTGCCCTTGTCCGATGGTGGTGTTCTGTGAAGCTGTTTATGCTCAGCAGGAGACACGATGGCTTAGCCGTGGGTGCCAGGCCAGTTCCCTCCTGTCTGGGGTGACTTTTCTCTTTGTGAATACACAAACACTTCTCTGCTGTGGAAATCCAGCCGTCTGCTCTGACACATGCCATTAGGACGGGGGTCGTGACTGGGAGAGTGAGTCATAGTCAGCTGCTGCCACCATATATGGAAGGCCAGGACAGTAGGGCCAGGCTTCCTGATTCCCTCAGCTGCTACCTAAGGCCCCCAGTGCCTCGCTGCGGAAGGGAAGGAATGTATTTCATTTTTTTTTTTTTTTTTTTTGAGACAGAGTTTTGCTCTAAAGGGATCTGCCCTCATCGACCTCCCAAAGAGCTGCAATTACAGGAGTGAGCCACTGCGCCCAGCTGAGGGACTGTATTTCTAGGCAGCCTGGCAAGACTGTCTGCTATCTGTTCTTCATCATTTCATTCTTTTTAAAATTCTATTTTATTTATTTTATTTTTTGGAGATGGAGTCTCACTGTGTCACCCAGGCTAGAGTGCACTGGTGCGATCTCAGCTCACTGCAACCTCCACCTCCTGGTTTCAAGTGATTCTCCTGCCACAGCCTCCCGAGTAGCTGGGATTACAGGCATGTGCCACTGTGTCCAGCTAATTTTTGTATTTTTAGTAGAGACAGGGTTTTGCCATGTTGGCCAGGCTGGTCTCGAACTCCTGACCTCAAGTGATCCACCCACTTCAGCCTCCCAAAGTGCTGGGATTATAGGCGTGAGCCGCCACACCAGGCCTGTTCTTCATCATTTCAAATGCTCATTCCTTGGGCCCTTCCACAGATGTAGGCTATTAAAAAAAAAAAAAATTAACTCAATATTCTCATCCCCTTAAGGCTTGCAAAGGTAGAGAGTAAGAAATTTCTGGGCCGGGCGCAGTGGCTCACACCTGTAATCCCAGCACTTTGGGAGGCTGAGGTGGGTGGATCACTTGAAGTCAGGAGTTCAAGACCAGCCTGACCACCAACATGGTGAACCACATCTCTATTAAAAACACAAAAATTAGCCGGATGTGGTGGTGCATGCCTGTAATCCCAGCTACTCAGTAGGCTGAGGCAGGAAAATTGCTTGAACCTGGGGTGCGAGGTGGGGGGCACGGGGCAGAGGTTGCTGTGAGCCGAGATCACGCCATTGCACTGCAGCCTGAGGAATAAGAGCGAAACTCCATCTCAAAAAAAAAAAAAAAGAAATTTCTTCCCATTCACATGCATGCTTCTGGGTGAAAAGGGACACAGATTTAAAGACAGTCTATGGGCTACATGTTTTTAGAGGTAAGTTTCATAGCAGTTGAGGTGTGTGTGTAAAACACCACTCTATCCTTCAGAAACAGCCTCCATGTTCCCCGGGGAGACTTCCCAAGCATGTCCGTGGGCTGGGGTTTCTTTCCTTCATGCTCCTAGAATCCCTGCCTTCTACCTTATTTCTGATGTGATATGAGTCCTGATTTCCCTTCCTTTTCCTTTCTCTTTCCCTTTTCCCTCCTCTCCCTTCTCTCCCTTCTCCCTCTTTTTTTTCCTTTCAACAGAGTCTCACTCTGTTGCCCAGGCTGGAGTGCAGTGGTGCGATCATGGCTGATTGCAGCCTTGACCTCCCGGGCTCAAGCAATCCTCCCGCCTCAGCCTCCCAGGTAGCTGGAATGAAGGGCATGTGCCACCACACCTTGCTGGTCTGGAACTCCTGGGCTTAAGGGATCCTCCCGCCTCAGCCTCCCAAACTGCTGGGATTATGAGTGTAAACCATTGTTCCCGGCCCTGATTTTCTTTACTGTAGCACATCAGGCTGAGATCTCTTTGGAAACTCAGGCTGTGAACTCCTTAGGGGCCAGATGGTAATTTCTGTCTCCTGAGTGCTTAGTACAATACTTGATGCATAGAAGATATTGAATCAACCAAATTGATGAGTTGCATCAGTAGTGGGGCTTTGATGGGCTAGTTCGTGACTGGTGGTTCTATAGCATTTTTTTCTGCGTCTGGCTGCTCATTGTTTTTCTCCCTTTCTCTCTCTAAAGTACTCATGCAATGGAGGAAAATCCGTATCTGCAGCTGGACCCAGCCATACCAGGAGTGTATTCTGGAAATCCATACCCATTTGGAATTGATCCGGTAATAACATCGTCTTGGGTTAAATATTTACTGTGTCAACTGTCTTGTGGAAGAGACCTCTGGATAGCGAAGAGAAGGCCAGCAAAGCCTGTCAAATCAACAAACTTGTGTTGAGTTAAAATAACTTTTGCTGAGGTTTTTGTGACACACAGAGCCAGATTCAAATAAATATTCTATCTGCACCCTCTACCCGGCCCCATTTTCCATGCAGTTCCCCAAACATCTGCCTCTTTCTCCATCAGTTACATCCCTGGTGGTTAATAATTGCTTCTTTAAAAGGCACTTGATTGCCTAGGAAGTATGCATATTAGATAAGCTATTTAGCATCCTAATCAAGTTCAAGTTCCCTGCTTGATGTTTTCTTGCAGTGGGAAATATTTCCCTTTTTTCTAAAAAAGTGTAGATTTGCTTTTATGTTTGTTTTGTTTTATTTTTGAGACGAAGTCTCATACTGTCGCCCAGGCTGGAGTGCAATGGTATGATCTCAGTTCACTGCAACCTCCGCCTCCCGGGTTCAAGCAATTCTCCTGCCTCAGCCTCCCAAGTAGCTGGGACTACAGGTGCCCACCACCACACCCGGCGAATTTTTTGTATTTTTAGTAGAGATGGGGTTTTACCATGTTGGCCAGGCTGGTCTCGATCTCCTGATCTAGTGATCCACCCCGCAAAGTGCTGGGATTATAGGCATGAGCCACTGCACCTCGTCTTGTTTTGTTTTACTGCATAGAATTGACACTTTTTTAAAAAGGGTATTTGCTTCATTTTATTTGTTTGTTTTATATATATCTCAGTCAACTAGATTCGAGCTAAGCAAAATGATACTTCCTCAAAGCCTGTAGATGTAAAGGGGTTTTGAGGAGCCATAACACATGCCCATTCATGTAAAGCCGTTTATTTCTATTGGCGCAGTGCATGCAGCCACCAGGTGGCGGCCTTATGCTCCAAATGAGCATGAACTGAACTAAAACTGAGCTTGGCAAATGTCCGTAAATGTTTCTTCTAAGCTCTCTTCTTTGTAGGAGAGAGCCTGAGACCTCACTTTGTGTTGCTGACAGTTGGGAGTAAATAGTACTAGCCCTAAAATTGGTTCTCCAGTCTCTCTTGTCTTGCAGATCACCTCCTCTTAAGTCTTCCTGGGTCATCCTGCTGTCTCCTGCCACCCCGCCTTTATGAAAACAGAAACTTTGCCAGAGATTTGTTTATACTTGCCACCCAGGCACACTTGCATTCTGTTTTATCAAAAGTGGTAAAGTCCTTGAAGGCTGGTTTGTGAGTTGAAAAGTGTTAAAAACTAATTTGAATTATTTTTGTGGCCTGCAAAACTTTGTTGTGGTCAAAGACATTTCAGGTTTAGTAAGCAGGTGGAGAAGGAATCTAGAGGGGATGATCTTAGGGTCTGGTTGATCTTCCTTTGTTTGGGATCTCATTGCTCCAATGGTCTTGTCTCTCCCCTCCATGGCCCACAGTTAATTCGTCAGCAAATCCTGCCTGTCCATTTCTGCTCCTCAGGCAGCATGGGGCTACAGTATTTCATATTGCAGAGCTGAGTGATCCTGGGTTTCTGCTCTGCATGCAATTTTGTCATCTGCCCACAAGTTAGAAAAGAAAGAAAATACATCAGGGTGAAAGAGAATGTGGGATATTAAAAATAATGAAATTTGTTCCTAGTAACATTTAGAATTTTGAAAAATTCTGGTCTTTCTATTCTGAAATAGTACATATATATGATTAAAAAAATCTATACAACACAAAATATTACATAACGAAGAGCTGGAGTTGGCCTGATGTGATGGCTCACATCTGTAATCCAAGCACTTTGGGAGGCCAAGGCAGGTGGATCACTTGAGGTCAGGAGTTCAAGACCAGGCTGACCAACCCGGTGAAACCTTGCCTCCACCAAAAATACAGAAATTAGCTGGGCACAGTGGCACATGCCAGTAGTCCCAGCTACTTGGGAGGCTGAGGTAGAAGAATTGCTTTAACCCAGGAGGTGGAGGTTGCAGTGAGCCGAGATCATGCCACTGTGCTCCAGCATGGGCAACCAGAGTGAGAGCCCATTTCAAAAAAAGAAAGTAAAAATACCAAAATGAGCCAGGTATGGTGGTATATGCCTGTGATGTCAGCTACACAGGAGGCTGGGGAAGTACTTGAATCTGGCAGGCAGAGGGCGTAGTAAGCTATCGCACCACTGCACTCCAGCCCGGGTGACACAGAGAGGCTCTGTCTCAAAAAAAAAAAAAGCAAAGCAGGAGTTGCCTTTCCTTTCCTGCTTCTCTGGTTCCTATTCCTCAGAGGTAACCACTTTAACAGAACATGTCTGTCTTAGTCCATTTTCATGCTGGTGATCAAGACATCCCCAAGACTGGGTAATTTATAAAGAAAAAGATTGTGGCCGGGCGCGGTGGCTCAAGCCTGTAATCCCAGCACTTTGGGAGGCCGAGGCGGGTGGATCACAAGGTCAAGAGATCGAGACCATCCTGGTCAACATGGTGAAACCCCGTCTCTACTAAAAATACAAAAATTCAGCTGGGCATGGTGGCGCGTGCCTGTAATCCCAGCTACTCAGGAGGCTGAGGCAGGAGAATTGCCTGAACCCAGGAGGCGGAGGTTGCGGTGAGCCGAGATCGCGCCTTTGCACTCCAGCCTGGGTAACAAGAGTGAAACTCTGTCTCAAAAAAAAAAAAAAAAAGATTGTGTAGGGAGGCCACACAATCGTGGTGAAGATGAAAGGCACATCTTACACGGTGGCAGGCAAGAGAGAAAATGAGAACCAAGTGAAAGGGGCTTCCCCTTATAAAATCATCGGCTCTCATGAGACTTATTCACTCCTACAAGAAGAGTATGGGGGAAACCACCCCTGTGATTCAATTATCTCCCACCGGTCCCTCCCGCAACACATGGGAATTATGTCAGCTACAATTCAAGATGAGATTTGGGTGGACACAGCCAAACCATATCAATGTCTGTGCCTATATCAGTACTTGTGTCATATATATATATATATATATATATATGTGTATTAATAAGGGCTTACCTTTTATATAACACAAATTTCTACAGTGCATTCACTGACTGCATTTGGCATCTATCTGTGAATCTAATCACAAAATATTTGGCCTTCATCATAGCTGACCTTAGGTGTTTTTGCAAATTTTACGACAAATGAACATAATAAAATGGTTAAGTCTGAGCTCTTCGCACAGGAATCAGACAGTCTGTGTTTAAATTTTTGCTTTTCTATTTACTTGCTCCGTGAGTTTGAGCATGTTAACATCTCTATGTTTGTTTCCTCACCTATAAAATGCATATAATGACAGCCCTAGGCCAGGTGGGGTGGCTCACACCTGTAATCCCAGCACTTTGGGAGGCTGAGGGGGGCGGATCACCTGCGGTTAGGAGTTCAAGACCAGCCTGGCCAACAGGAGTGAAACCCCGTCTCTACTAAAAATACAAAATTAGCCAGACGTGGTGGCAGGTACCTGTAATCCCAGCTACTCGAGGGCTGAGGCAGGAGAATCGCTTGAACCTGGGAGGCAGATGTTGCAGTGAGCCAAGATTGCGCCATTGCACTCCAGCCTGGGCGACAAGAGTGAAACTCTATCTCAAAATAAATAAATACATTACAGCACTAACTCCCGGGACTGCTCAGCAAAAAAAATTATTTTTACATGTAAACCCCCCAGAGCAGAGTCTGATGCACAAATGTGGTAAATGCTCCTTGAATTTTAGTTACTCTGATGTCATTTCTTCCTAGGTGTGTAAGTAACTTAATCTTCCTGAGGTTATAATAAATTACTTTATCTGTAAAATGACAAGACCTGTATCTCATAGAGTTTTCTGTGGAATTAAATGAGATACACATATCTAAATTGCTTAGTATGTGCCTGGTACTTAACTATTAACATTTTAAAATTTCTTTTTTATTTATTTATTTAGAGATAGGGTCTTGCTCTGTTGCCCAGGCTGTAATACGGTGGCGCGATCATGGCTCACTGCAGCTTCGACCTCCTGGGCTCAGTCTTCCTGCTTCAGCCTCCCAAGCAGCTGGAACTACAGGCACATGCCACTCCTTGCTGGGCTAATTTTTTTTAAAAAGTTTCTGTAGAGGCTGAGCACGTTGGCTCACGCTTGTAATCCCAGCACTTTGAGAGGCTGAGATCACAAGGTCAGGAGTTTGAGACCAGTCTGGCCAATATGGTGAAACCCCTTCTCTACTAAAAATACAAAAAGTTGCCTGGCGTGGTGGTGCACGCCTGTAGTCCCAGCTACTCAGGAGGCTAAGGCAGGAGAATTGCTTGACCCTGAGAGGTGGAGGTTGCAGTGAGCTGAGATCGTGCCACTGCACTCCAGCCTGGGTGACAGAGCAAGACTCTGTCTCCAAAAAAAAAAAAAAAAGTTTTTGTAGAGACAGGGTCTCAGTTTGTAACCAGGCTGGTCTTAAACTCCTGACCTCAAGTGATCTTGCCATCTTAGCGTCCCAAAGTGGTGGGATTACAACGTGAGCCACTGCCCCTGGCCAACATTTTTAATGTGTCAGATTTGGCTGGGTCTAAAGTATCCTAGCAGACCTGCCCTCACTGCCTCCTCAGTGGGTGCCCCTCCGGCCTAGCTCAGGACATTACAAAGGAATAATCAGTGCAAATTAGTGCACGACTGTGTGAGCGTGTGTGTGTGTGTGTATGTGTGTGTGTGTGTGTGTGTGTGTGTGTGGGTGTGTGATGGAGGGAGCAAGATGATTGTGTTTGAGGTTGTGTCTGATTGGATGTTGGCCCCATAACAGAAGCAAAGAAGTTTGGAGGAGGAAGTCATTTAGGAGCAAAGGTGAGAAAGACATTGTACCCTTGTCACCTTTGACATGTCCCAGAGGAAGGCTGAAGACAATTTGGGATGTACCTCAAGTTCAGGCGGGACAGGGGAAGGAGCAAGGACTTGGAACCATTTCCACACAGTGAGAGTGGAGACCATGGGGCTGCTGAGATTTAAATGGAGAAGAGGAATATTAGCAACTCTGGTCATTAGGCAGCATGAGATCCCAACCACCCCACTCCACCCACCTGCCCCCTGCACAACACCCAGTGTGCTTTCTCCTCATGTCAGTATCATCGGTATCATTTGGGGCAGGACAGGTACACACAATCCCCACCTGGCGGTGCTGTTTAAAACGGGCTGTGTAAAAGGCCAGGAACTGCATCTGACCCATCGTGCTTACAGAAATTGGTTACAGGAACGGCTTCTTGAGAAGGGCCTGGGGAAATGCTTTGTAATGTGAAGCACTATAGACTTTCAGAGTAAGAGGTGGTGTTGTTTAAAAGGATTGGATACATCCATGGGCCAGTGATCTTTAGGCCATGATGAAGGAAACTGAGGCAAGTTTGAGATCTTTGCATAATGGTACAGATTATCTTTCCTTTTTTTTTGACCCTGAGTCTTGCTCTGTCGCTTAGGTTGGAATGCAGTGGTGTGATCTCGGCTCACTGCAATCTCCGCCTTCCAGGTTCAAGCGATTCTCCTGCCTCAGCCTCCTGAGTAGCTGGGATTACAGGCATGCGCCACCATGCCCAGCTAATTTTTGTGTTTTTAGTAGAGACGGGGTTTCACCCTGTTGACCAGGCTGGTCTCGAACTCCTGACCTCAACTGATCCATCCGCCTTGGCCTCCCAAATTATCTTTTCACATAGGGTTTTTCTCCCCTGTTTTCCTCCAGCAATTTGAGAATAGCACTAAGGATCCTGTTATTTTTGTCATTAACGTTTCATTTATAAAGGGCTTCATCCTTTTTTCATTTTTGGAGACCAAAATGCATGTATTGAGTGGGACTGAAACATGAAAGTGCCGTTCCCAGAGCGATTTGCTCAGGGAGAGTTTTGCTGTGGGCCTCGACTCCAGTCCAACTTTTAAGACTCTCTCTCATGTGGGTTTTTTTTGTCCCATTTCCCATCCAGATTTGGAACTTGGCTTCAAACAAACTCACATTTTTGAACTCCTATAAAATGAAGATGTCAGTGGTCCTGGGAATCGTCCAGATGGTTTTCGGTGTCATCCTCAGCCTTTTCAATCACATGTGAGTTTCCTAATTCACTCTCTGCCTGTTCTATCTGATCACACTGATGATGAATGGTGACAGAACCACTGGCTTGGGACCTGCATCTCTCTGTGCAAGTTTTCTACCTGTAAGGGGTACTTTCCTGTGCATCTTGGCTTGAGCCAAGACAAGCTGGTTGGCTGGAAATGGCAGCACCTCCGTTTCTCCTGAGCAGAGTCTCTCCAAGGTAAGTGCTTCTCTAGCCCAAGAAATATTTGAGGATTCAAAAAAACACTGGAGGCTGGGCACAGTGGCTCACGCCTGTAGTCCCAGCACTTTGGGAGGCCGACGCGTGGATCACCTGAGGTCAGGAGTCCAAGACCAGCCTGGCCAACATGGTGAAACCTCATCTCTACTAAAAATACAAAAATTAGCCAGATGTGGTGGCGGGCGCCTATAATCCCAGCTACTCGGGAGGCTGAGGCAGGAGATTGGCTTGAACCTGGGAGGCAGAGATTGTAGTGAGCTGAGATCGCACCATTGCATTCCAGCCTGGTTGACGGGGTAAGACCCATCTCAAAAAAAACAAAAGGCCAGGTACAGTGGCTCATGCCTGTAATTCCAGCACTTCAAGAGGCTGAGGCGGGTGGATCAGGAGGTCAAGAGATTGAGACTGTCCTGGCCAACATGGTGAAACCCAGTCTGTACTAAAAATACAAAATTGAGCAGGGATGGTGGCAGGCACCTGTAGTCCCAGCTACTTGGGAGGCTGAGGTAGGAGAATCGCTTGAACTTGGGAGGCAGAGGTTGCAGTGAGTTGAGATCACACCATTGCACTCTAGCCTGGGCGACAGAGTGAGACTCCATCTCAAAAAAAAAAAAAAAAAAAGACTGGAAATCCCACAGCAGCTGGTGTTCTCCCCAACCTGAAAGGCCTTGATTGGTGCTGTCTCCAAGCTCAGATCCCACCAAATGGGCCAAGAGGAATATATGTGAATTTTGGCCATGCTGCCCTCAGGTCCTGCCTTCCACTCGGTCACATTTCTTCCTGCTGGCAGCAGCCTTTCCCTCACTTCTTTGGCTGTTGATATTGCCATGTCTGTTCTTTTCCTTCTATCAAGATCCATCATTGGAAAACATCTTAAGCTTATTTATGCTAAAGGTATAAATGTTTGCAAACAGCTTCAAATGTGCCTTTCACATGTGCCTTTTGTGAACATGGCTGTTGACTTATAGGTGCTGCTGAGATCCCACCTCTATGGAGGTGAGCGGTGGGGGGACACCATGGCGCCATGGAAATGATGAAGTGTTTGGAATCAGAAGTTTAAGTCTTGGTTCCACCTCTTAGTAGCTGCGTGATCATAGAGTCAGTCATTGATTAATGTCTCTGAGATGATAATTTTTACAGAACGGGAATACATACTAAGAATGGGTTAGGCTATTGTGTGTAACAAACAGCCTCCAAATTTCAGTAGCTTAAGACCATGACACATGTCTATCATGGGCCCCCCAAGGCTCTGCTCCTGTCATCTTTGTCAGTTCTCACAGCAGAAGGAGGGGATGAGTTACACATCAATTTCTTTCTTGTTTTTTTTTTGAGATGGAGTCTCGCTCTTGTTGCTCAGGCCAGAGTGCAATGGTGCAATCTTGGCTCACTGCAACCTCTGCTTCCCGGGCTTAAGTGATTCTCCTGCCTCAGTCTCCCGAGTAGCTGGGACTACAGGTGTGCGCCATCATGCCCGGCAAATTTTTGTATTTTTAGGAGAGATGGGGTTTCATCATACTGGCCAGGCTGGTCTTGAACTCCTGACTTCAAGTGATCCACCCGCCTCAGCCTCCCAAACTGCTATGATGATAGGCGTGAGCCACCGCGCCTGACCCAAAAATGCGTTTAATACACTTATCTACCAAACATTATAGCTTAGTCTAGACTACCTTAAAATGTTACCAGAACACTTAAATGAACACACTGCTGGGTGAAATCAACGAACACAAAGCCTGTTTTATAATAGTTGAACATCTCATGTAATTTACTGAATGCTTCACTGAAAATGAAAAACGGAATGGTTGTAGGGGTATCATCGTAAATCATAAGTTGAATTGTGGTAAGTTGGGGACCGTCTGCGCTCGGCTCTGGTGTCGTAGGAGTGCAGCCATAGGCAATACGTAAACGAGTGAACGTGGCTGTGTACCAAGAACATTTTATTTGTGAACACTGAAATGTGACGTTTATGTAATTTTCATGTGTTTCAAAATATTCTTTGGGTTTTTTTTTTTTTTTTTTTTTTTTTTTTTTTTTTTTTTTTTTGAGATGGAGTCTCACTCCGTCACCCAGGCTGGAGTGCAGTGGCACGATCCCGGTTCACTGCAACCTCCACTTCCCAGGTTCAAGCAGTTTTCCTGCCTCGGCCTCCTGAGTGGCTGGGATTGCAGGTGCACGCCACCACAGCTGGCTAATTTTTTTGTATTTTTAGTACAGATGGGTTTTCACCCAGTTGGCCGGGCTGGTCTTGAACTCCTGACCCCGTGATCCACCTGCCTCAGCCTCCCCAAGTGCTGGGATTACAGCTGGAGCCACCGTGCCTGACTTCTTTTGGGTTTTTCACCTCAACAATTTAAGAATATAAAAACCATTCTTAACTTCCAGGCTGTACAGAATCAGGTGTTAGGCTCAATTGGCTTGCGGGTCACAGTTTGCCAAGCCCTATCTTAGAGCATTCTTAGGAAAAAGCTTCCAAGTCCCCCATTCTCTATCCTCTTGCCTTTAAACGTGCCACTGTGAGCTAGGTCTGCATGCGAAGCTGTGGTCAGATCACCACCCTCTCTGTGTGGGCATGACCTTTGCTTTAGATGTTACTTCTAGACTGTGGTTCTCTCTGACCCTTTTGTGCAAAAGCACAGTATTTCCTTTTTGTATTCTTTTCTATGCATCAATCCAGGATTGCTGCTTGCTGGGGGATGTGGGGCTCCGCTGCAAAAAAAAAAAAAAAAAAAAAAAAAGCATTTTGTGCTTTGAGAGAATAATGAAGTCCTAATGTTCCCTTGATATTCTCTCTTGTGTATGTGTGTGTTTTCCACCCCCAGATACTTCAGAAGAACTCTCAACATCATTCTGCAGTTTATCCCTGAGATGATTTTTATCCTGTGTCTGTTTGGATACCTGGTTTTCATGATCATTTTCAAATGGTGCCGCTTTGACGTCCATGTGTCTCAGCATGCCCCCAGCATCCTCATCCACTTCATCAACATGTTTCTGTTTAACTACAGTGACTCTTCTAATGCACCCCTCTACAAATATCAGGTATTCCTGCTTTTTAAAGTCTTCTTTTATTTACTTGATTATGTAAAATTTCTCTCCTACTCTTTTTTTTTTTTTTTTTTTTTCTCAAGACGGAGTCTTGCTCTCACCCTGGCTGGAATGCAGTAGTGCCTTCTTGGTTCTCTGCAACCTCTGCCTCCCGGGTTCAAGCGATTCTCCTGCCTCAGC